GGTTCTGGTGCTGAGAACGTTAACAGAACTGAACTCTGCAGCTTCTTTTAATAAACAAATATTAATAGATTTAAAACTGACGGCTCAGTTATTTGAAAACCATCCTAACTTTTAAAGAATTATTCGTATTTAAACAGGGGGAAGCAGTGGAGCAGAACATGTGCCATGAGAATAAAATGCAGAAAAGGAATTTCCCCGTTGAGGATTAAAGTATTAAATATAAACTCTTTAAATCATGTTGACTCAAGTGTCCTAAAACAAAAAGCTGAATTGTGTGAACGAGTTTATTCTCTGTGGGAGGTGACAAAACTTCATCTTTTATTAGAAACTAAATTTATTTTAGTTCTGTTACAAAGCCAGTGTGTGCAGTTCTGATAACTCTTTGATCAAAGGCAGCGCTGCTTAGAAAAGTTTGAAATGTTGAAATAAATCCCAAACTCTTGTTAACTTTCACTAAATATGAATTATTTTTAAACCACAAATATGTTGACTTTTGATCAAAGATGAAGCGACTGAACATCTTTTATTATATATTTGAGTTTTTTAATAAAAAAGTTGACAGCTGACGTGCGTGTGGGTGGAGAACTCAAATTATTTGTTGAACCCAAAAATAAAATAATAAAAGCCAAACTGCTCACTCCTGTAGAGCAGAAGGTTTTTATTTTATTAACAATATCAAATCATTAGTCAGTTTTAATTAGAACGTCTGTTACAACTCTGAATTATAAAAAGAGTTTATTTCATGTGATTTATTCGATTTTGAGGATCTTCAGAGGAGAAGCCGAGCACCAAATCTGAAGCAAGCAGGAGGTTTCAGCAGAGAACTTCCTCTGCAGCAGCAGATTCATCACGACGAGAGCTCGTTTGTTTCCCAGAGTCTGGAATCAATTCGATGAAAGCCGAGGAATAAATGACTAAACAATATGTTAGAGCAAGAATCATAACCCGGCACAAGATCAGTTTCTGTGATTAAATTCTTCTGTTAAACAATCGATGTGCACCTTGGATCTTTTCAAAATGTGTTCTGACATTTAGACACTGTTGCAGATATTGAATTTCTTTCTTCTTTTTTGTTGTTTTTTTTTTCTTTTTTTTTAGAGTGAGTCTTTCTTTTTAATCGCTTTAATTGGCCCTTAAAAATATCAGCCACGGATGAACGGAATGTGAAACAGCAGAAAATCAATAACAAGCAAACATTTTTCTTTTTGCAAAGTCATACTCCATCTGACCTGCGATGAATCATGTTTTTAAACAGAAACTGACTTGCGTTTTCTCACCTCTCTGTCCTTTTTAATAAAAAAGACTCCAGAGCTGAAGCTCGATCAGTGTTTTTCTTTTGTTTTTTAATAAAATCAAGTTGAATTTGTCATCGTGAAACGAGCTCCTGCAGAGGCCGATGCATCATGTAGCTCCAGAAAACTTTAACAGTTACTTTATGTACACGTTTACAATCGTGCCTCGGGGTTTTGTCGTCACACAAACCCGTGTGTGTGTGTGTGTGTGAAGCCATGTGCTCGTGTGCAGCGGAGCGTGAGTCTTCTTTCTGGCACATTAATCCATCACGAGCCAACAATATGCATGTGGAGGTGGAGCAGGGCTGCAGCGTTTCGTTGCTGCACAAGTGTTTTATTTATTTATTTATTTTTTCTATTTTAGCCTCCAGGAATTTGTCTGTGTGAAAAGTTTCAGTGAACCATTAAGAACTTTGTCTTATTGATGCAGCTGCAGAGAGATTTTCACACAGCAGCTCCCAACCATTAACCTCTGTAGGTCAGAGGCCCATTAGCACAAAACACTGGTGGATTTTTGCATTTCTGCATCATAAAGTGCAAACCTTCACACCAGCATGTCAGCTAATGGTCAAAGAGCTCCTTCAACACAACAAATTACTTTATCCTCTTTAGATTTGGCTTTCAAGTGGCCAGAATTTCTTGGAATCTGTTTAGTTTTCTAAGTTTTCTAAGATTTCTAAGAATATTTCAAAGTTTCTCTTTAGACTTCATTACTTTGACCCCTGACCATCTTCTGATTTTCTTTTCTGGGTTTTTAGTCCACTGAAATCCAGAGTTTGATAGTAAATTTACCTGAGTAAGTTTTTGTAAAACTGTTATTATTATGCTGTACTTTTTACTTCTACTTGAGTAATTTTATTATGTAGTATCACTACTCTTCACTACTAAATCAAATCTAAAAGCTCTAAAAATGAACAAAGGAAGTGAATTTTATTTAAATGCACACGTTTCTTTAGAATCTATCACAGAATGCACTTTTATGTATGTTTTAGTCTTATTTTGAATGTAAATCGGTGCAGTTGTTGAAACATTTCCTATAAAGTCACTTTCAGAAGCTGCTTTCTAGATGTTGCCAAAACGCCAAACTGGGAAAGGCATCAGTCAGGATAAATGCACGAGTTCAGCCTCGACCCTGATCATAGTAGTTTGACATTTTGTGCTACATTCAACAAGCACAAAGCTGCGCGTGTGGGACACATTGCTTCAGAAATGCAAAGGTTAACAGCAGTTTATTGCAAAAGCTTTGGGGAGGGAGTGGAGGTAATGATGGGTGAAGGCAGAAGGCTGAGGCAAAAAGCCAAGGGCTGCAGCGGGAGGGGTGAAGACGACGTGTTAACTGCAAGAAAACTGTGGAACAGACGGAGCAGGGAGGCAGGTTAGAGCAGAGCTTCAGCACCACACTGGGTGGCTGAGCAATCTTGTGGAGGCTGGATGAGAAACTGGGCTGTAAGCAGCGCTGATGAGCTTGTAGGAGACGGGCGTGTAGGCCGATGCAATCAGGAGGCCGGGAGGAGGAGGAGGAGGGAAGCATGTTTGCCAAAATACAGATGCTTAAAGAACACATACACATGCAGATAAAACATGATTCAGTTCTAATCACTGCTTCTGTTCCTCCATCTGAGGCTAAAGGAGAGTTAAAGGGGAGGGGGTATTAAATAAAATCATACTTTTTATTTTTATATCATATTATCAAAAACATACAGAGTGTTGCTTTGATTCATTCATATATGTTTGAGAAATCCTTGAATCTCCTGGGGTAGCCTTGTGGAGCTGCCCGAACACTTGCTGGTACAAAGCTCCGCCTGTTTTTACAAAGCTCCTCCCCAAAGCGAGAGAGTCTGCATCCGTGCTCCCACCCTAGAGCACCCCTTCCCTGAAACATTGTTGTGAAGATGTGCTGAAGTGGGAGTGTCAGAAACAGTAGGAGGTTCTTATCACCAATTTCAAGGTGTTTAGATAAACTGATGCAAAGTCACATTTCTACAGTTACAACATAGTTACATGATTGTGGTACAAAATTCTACTGTCTGGAAAATACACAACACACCCTCCTGCAGAAATAGTGTTTTAACACGTCCTCTAATAAACACTGTAAAGTACTAAGAGTTCGACTGACTAAATGTAAAGTAAATAATACAGAAATACTATTAAAAGTAAAATTAAGATAGTTTTACTCACTATAAAGTTGTGGTAAGTCTTGAATTCTGAACTCTCCCATTTTCCAACAGGGAATTCCCATTTGGGCGTGCCCCAGTTTAAATTTACCACCAGCACAGCTGGGCCACATTAAAAGTGGAGAGTGATAATGCCACCGGCTACTGGAAACCCTGTGTAGCTCCACCTAGTGGTGGGATGCTGTCATTTTGCGTGTAAAGTATTGAACATGCATTGTGGGAGATGTAGTTTATCAATGCTGGCTTTAAAGCTGCAGTTGGGAGGCTTGTGATGGCACATTCAGAGCTCTCAAAAATGGTCAGTTTTTCTGTAACATTATCTGTCTCATATTCTACTGTTGGGACACAGTTTTAACAGATGTGGAAAAAATACATTTTTATAAAAGTTACCTATGCAGCTCTAAAGCAGCTTATTTTAAAGACATTAATTCATCTTTGAATGGAGCCACATAAAATTCAGCAGCTGGCCACATTTGGCCCACAGGCCTTGAGTTTGACTTAAGATGCAGAGTGTTAATTTCCTTTTTGAAATGTCTCAGAAGTGACTGTTTGTGATGCTGCTTGGTTGGCAAGGTTTAGCTGCAGGCAGCAGGATGGAACAGAGAGGAAACCATGATACTAAATAATAAAAGTAACGCAGGAAAACACCAAACAAAATAAACAATTCTTTCCCAACAAGCCTGTATTTGTTGGATAAGAGGACTTAAATTTAGAAAAATGTTGTCAAGTTCAACTCTTGAAAAGTGGGGTTCTGTGGAGATGTTATATATACGTAATATTTTACCTGTTGTGGATAATCCAGGCAGAAACCTTGTTTTATAAACTTTTCTCTGCAGGAAATGTCCCAGGCACAAGAACAGCCACAGCTAGCTGCTGCTGTTCATGTTTGTACTCCTAAATAACCACAGAATTCTAAATAATTACATGTTTAATGTGAAACTGCTCKTATTATTTTATTATTGCTGTGTTTCTATCAGAATGTCAGGTCTCCACAGTTCAGGGTTTATAAAACGGTTGTAAAATGCTCCAGATGAAGGCGGAATTGATTTCCCCTCGTCTGAGAGCAAGGCCGCTGCCTGGCTGAGTGGCTCTTCACGGCGCCGCCCATCCCTCCTGACCTCCAGCTGCAGAGGCAAAGTCAAACCGTGATAGGCTGTAAGTGGTCAGAGGACTACCGGGCCTGGGATTAACCCGGGCGTTTGATGACACTCAGACGTGTGCGAGTGTTTTCACTTTGAGTCGTGTTTAAAGCTTCATATTCTTTGTTGTCCAGCAGCAGGTGATGGACTCCGTCTCAAGTGGATCGTGTTTTTTATTCATTTTTTTTCCTGCTTTGACAGAGTGAGAGGTTTGGACACACAGATTTGAGACGTTTTGGATCAAACAGCAGCACCGAGCCCTTTAATCTCAAAGTGTCTTGTCATGAGCTTTATGAGTTTTGAAAAAAGACAATAAAGGTCTCGTCTCTTCTGGACTTTAAGCATCTGTCTGCAGAGATCAGATGAAAACACTTCTTTTTCCCCTCCCTCTGCAGGTGGAGTCTCCGCTGGCGGTGGACGCAGTGCTCGGCGAGACCACGTTCTCCGTCACAGACGACAAGGTGTCCATCACGGAGCTGCGTGTCCACGCCGTCTCCGGCCTGACCCTGTCCCTGCAGCCCAGTCCCGGAAACAGCCACACCATGGTGGCCAAGGCTACTGGCGTCCAGACGCTCACTGCTCTCAAACAGGTGAGCCAGAAGCATCCAGAACAACTCAGGTAGTTCAGATATTTTACTAACAGGGGTAAACATGTCCTCAAAGTTTTAGTTGAGGAGGACTCTCAGCTTCTAACACAAMAAATTTKAGCTTAACATCAGTACATTTGACTGAGTTATCGCTGTTTTTGTGCTGGATAATGTTGAACATCTGGGKCGCTCATCTTAAATCAACTTGACTCCAAAAGATAACCAGCTGTAGAGGTGGTCCAATAATTATTTCCTGAAAGTTTCATTGAAATCCATCTGATTGTTTATGAAATATTTTGCTAACAGACAAACAGAATCAGCTCAAACAGTTGATCCTCTCATTACAAACCAGAGGACATACGTAACGACTTCTTTTTGGAAAAACACCCGACCAAGAATCACCGAGCTCCACAGTGGATCTAAAACCTCCCTTAAATATTTACATTAGATTTTATTCTGCAGACACACAGGTGGATCATAAAGATGCTGGTCACTCCACAGACATTCATACATATTTATAAAACTGTGTGTGCTCTGACAACACAATTACCTGCAGCCCAYCTCAGATACAAAACAAACTGTCGCAGCCGTGTCCGTGAGCTCCTCCGACTTTAGCCACCGCTGCTTTTAAYGGGATAAAATAAATAAATAAAAGCAAACATGAGTTTATTTTTGACGCACGCTGCAGCCGAGGTGAACGACGTCTGCTCTGCACCGTTTCACCAAAAATAAAAAATACATCTTAATCAGGGAGGAGCAAATACACGCCGCGCCTGTTTAATGTTGTTCTGCCATCGATTCGCAAGTCAAGATATCAAATTCCTCGGTGTGACAGCTGGATCAATGGGAGTTTGTAGGAGAATTAAATCTCAAAATGTTGCCGTGTTACAAACCCATCGATTGTCATTTATTGGTATGGATCTGGGACTGTCTGGAAGCAGGGGCGCTTGAGAAGTGAGAGTTGTACACAATATATTGGCAAGAAAATGTACAGAAGAGGATTAGGGCCACTGAAAAATTACAATAATTCTGACTTTTTTCTTAGAATTCTGAGATTAAAGTCAGAATTCTTACCTTTTTTTAATTCTCAGATATAAAAAATCCTAATTCTGAGAAAAAAGTCTAACTTTTTTTCTTACAATTCTGACTTTTTTCTCAGAATTAGGAGATTTAAGTTAATTTTCTGAGATTAAAGTCAGTCTTTTTTTTTCCAGTGGCCCTAATCCTCTTTTGTCAACATGAAACCAAGTCTCATCCAATTTTAAAACTAATTAACAAAAAAATTCAACAAGATATTAGGCTGTTTTTGCAGAAAACCACGTGAACTAATAGGTTTTAATGATGCTGTTTAATTACAAACTTCATGTAAGCTGAGCTTGGAYGGATGTGAAAAGAGTTTTGATTGGCGGGGAATCATGCTAACATCACCTCGCCGCTCTGCCCCCTCTCTGGCCCCTCGCGTTGCTAAAAAAGCAACGACAACCACATCAGGCATGAGTGAGGGAGAAGCAGGCATTAAAATCCAATTTTTCTTGCTTTCAGCTTCTTGGCCACCTTGAAATTTAATTATTGTAATGTATTGTCCTAAGTGCTCTCCAAGGCCGGGCCATAAAAGGCAGCCAATTCCTCCGCCGGCAAATCTCTCAGAGGACTGCTGGAGCTATTTCAAGCCATTTGGTTCTGTTTCACGGCAAAAAACTTTCTAAATGTCCTCTGTTACTCGGGAAATGAATGAAACACATAAACTACGGCAGGTAGAGTTTTACAGTCCGGACTGCTTTGCATTTTTTTCTCCTGTGTTTCATGGACAAAGTTCAATCTCTTTCAAGCTGCAAGCCTTGGCTTTCTGTGAAGCTGCGAACTACTCTCATTTCAATCTGCAGACAACCGTTTGGAACCTGAATCCTTTATTTACGTCTTGAGATGCTGCAAGTCTTTCCACTGCTTATGAATAGTTTATAACCGAGCTGTTGGGTTTACGTACGACGCCATGAAGCACAAATCAAAGACAGGAAAACCTCCACACATTAGCATCTCGATGGGAATTCATGCATTATGTTTGGTATAACTCAGCGCTGGAGGGTGGACAATGACGCTTTGGCTTATGAGCCTGTTAGCAAAATATCCCATCATCCACTGGGCAGATTTTAATGGAACTTTCAGGGAAATAATCATTGATCGTACATCTACAACTGACGTAAGTTTGGAGCCAGCCTAATTAAAGCTGGTCGCCGCAGACAGCTCGTCTTAGAGCACACAAAAATGGAAATATTTCAACCAGTTTCATAGATTTTGAGGTAAAACTTGGTGTGGTAGTAGCTGAGAGTCATTCACACCACACGCTCTAAGTGCTGCTCATGTGAGATGTTTCATCTCTTCATCCTTGAGGGTTTTTTCAGCACAAAATAACATGCAGAGATGTAACTCAGTGTGTAACTCAGCATTTATAAATTCTACTTAAACAATCTTGGTATCAAAATAAAGCTAAGACTTGGGAGATCTCATCAGAAGTGTCAAAGCAGCTGCTGTTTCAGAGATACTTCGGATGGAACAGAAACAATAACGATTTATTTCCCCTCGCTAGGCTTTTTTATGCATTAAACAGTGTATAACCATTTAAAAGCTATAATGAATAAAGGAAAAAACTCTTGGAAACCATAAATCCACATGTTGACATCACCTGTGCAAAGATTCATGCTGCTAAAATAAACTGGAGCAAAGTTGCAGAGGTTTTATTAAAGAAATAATTTATTGTTTTGTCATTCTGCAGAGGATGGAGCATGTTGGTTCCATCAATAAATGTTAAGAAATTGGAGTTTTTTAATTGCAAAAAATAATTATTC